TCACACCACTGCAAATCCCCCACCCAATAACCGCTACAACTCCACCAAAATTCCCTCCATATGTGTCCGACTTGAACAACTTTTGGTTTTTTCAATCTTTAATTCTAACTTTTGATTTGGATTTTATATTTTTGAGTTTGATAATTGTTTTATAACACAATGAATGTGCATTGGGTAGTGTGTTGGTGGATGTGTTGGTGTTTGGGAGCGGTGTGCCAGGGGAGCTTTTGACTGGTGTGTCAATGGGGTTTGGTATTTGGGCTAGCGTGGAAGGGGGAGTTTGTGGTGGTGGTGGTGGGGGTAGGGCGATGGTGGAGAGGGGTGTGCCTAGTTGTTGGTGTTTTTTGGGTGTTAAGTTATTTAGAATAGATGGCATTAAAAACAAAATTAGAAGAAAAACAAAGGATAATTTAGGGTGCGTTAGATAATATTTTTGTTTTTATTTTTTTATGATAAAATATAAAAAAATATAAAAATATTTTTGATAGTCATTTTTATTTAAAAATTATAAAAATAAAAATAAAAAACATGTTTGGTATTTTACCCAAAACCCACCACCCAACGCCACCTAAACCCACCAGCAATAACCACACAGCCCCATCGAAAACCCACCCACAACCCCCCACCAACAACCTCTCGACACCCCCAAAAAGCTCCCCAAACCCTGAAACCCACGCCCAACACCCTGAAACCCACCTCTCTGTCTCTCTCTCTCTCTCTCACACACACAAATCTAACAAAATATAACAATTTTTTTTCTTCTTTCAAATCAACAATTTAATTCATTTCTTTAAAATTGTTTACAATGAAAGACAAGGCAAACAACCTTGCCTTTAACAATATTCGAATTCCAAAAACAATAAAAGAATCAAAGAATTTAATTCCCAAAGCTAGAAATTGCATCTTCAATCGCAGCAACCTTGTCTTAGCATAGATCAGGAAGCCGCCCAGACCTCCATTCCCTTCAGCATTTCACTGCAGCACAATCATCACAACAACTGGGGAGCATTCACCAAAACACCTTACTCAACATTTGTCTAACCAAATATAACAATAGATACATAGATCTAGGGCTATATATGTATATATATACAGACAATATATATACATAGATCTATGGCTTGGAGGTACAGAGAGCTCGATTGAGATGGCGTGTTGGCTTCTGGATCCAAGAGCTCCTTCGTAGTGTTTGACGGTGGCGTTTTACGCATGCGTTTATCACCAGTGGAGAGAGACAGAGAGAGGGGGAGGCAAAAAGGGGATAAACATTCTTTTATAGTTGGAACAAAAAATCATCCATTTTTTGTTGTTAATGGGATTCGAATGACAGACCGCATTAATTGATTCGAAGGGCGCATGTGTTTTATTTTTAGCCTGTTTTAAAAACATCAAAAACCTTGTTTCTAAATTTTGGGGTTGTTTACAAAACTTATTAGCCAAAATAAAAATAAAAACACACTCCAAAAATATTTTTTATTTTTTTTTTGGAAAAATTGCACATTAGTCTTTTCGCAATAACCGTTAGGTCTATCATGATTTGCACTTTATTTACATTGTTAAAGGAGGTGATATGTAATTGGCTTTAAGTTTAGGGATGCTTTGTATAATTTACCCTTAAATTTATATCCAATAAACTACCCTCGTAATGGCCAGGTTTTATTATAAAAAAAATTTACATTGGCCCTATTTCCTATAAATAATTGTATAATTAGACTTCACTATCTCGGGTAATTTAGTGGCATATAACCTAGTAAACAATTAGATGCACATGGTAAAATGTCCTAACCCAGAAATAGCTTTTACTGTTCTAACAAATCAATTCCTAACAAGATGGAAGATGGTCAACTAGACTTCGGAATAAAATTGATGAGAACTTTAGCACAAAAATTAATCAGGTATAGCCAATTTTTGGGATTTCAAACAACGGGGTGTTTTAATTTAATTATTCAAAGTAAAAATTATTTCGCACATTTTATGTCCATATATTTGTTAAGATTGAATAGAATCGATTTTAGATTTCATTAAGTAATTTATTCTTAACTCTTTATGTATTTCTCATGCTTGAAATTAAAATTTTTCTTATTTAGATATTGCACCCTCTCAAACGAAATCCTAGCTCCCCCCACTGGTGATAGCACAAAGCTTCAATGTTTTGTTGACTCATTTACGGAGATAGGGTTAAAAGACTGAAGGTACAACACAATCATTCAAAATTTCAAATGTAACAAATTTGGTTCGGGCACATTGAGTGAGAGAGTTATAATCTTAATTACATAATCCTCAAATCAGCCTCACTGCGCGTGTGAATTCCCACTCTGATAGCGACTTTTCTACATGAACACATGCTTTCATTTTTGGATCTAGGTTATAACACTGGGCAGAGCTTTTAATCGCAGTGATAAGGAATGCATTTTCTCCTATATTATCTTCCAGTTCATGGGACAGAACTTGCATAGTTTCCTTTAGCTTTATTACATGTTTGGAAATGTCAATTGAAAGACCGAATATATCTCAACACATCCTTCCTTGGTATATAGGATTAGACTTGCATGTCACATCAATTACAAAATAGATATCAAAACAGCAGAAGTTTCAAATCGTTGCTAACTGTTGTACCTTCCCTTCCGCTTAAACTATTTGTTTGTGAATGCTTCGGTTTGCTCTTAGTTTTGTTACTTCCACTAGGAACCACCTTTAGACTACCCTTGAAGCACTATATAAGTAGCAATTTTTTGGACAAAAACTCTATTTTCGAAACAACATGGGAGATAAATGTTAACACGTGATCCCAATTATATTTTACAGCCAATTAATCATAACATTTAAATCTAATTTCAAGAGATAAACAAATTATACTTGAAAATGATAAGGATTTCTATATCAAGAGTAAGGCGTGCTAAACTTAACCATTCTATTGTGATTTATGTGTGTTGTGTGATTTCTAGGGGTAGGGGTTGTGATTGCTGGGGTGTGTGTGTGATTTTCTCTATGTGTATGATTTCGGGGATTTATGTGTGTGTGTTTTTGTTATTTCTCGGTGTGTTTATGTGATTGTATGTGTGTGTGAGAGAGAGAGGAGGCCTCCGGTCTTAAGGACTAGAGAGAATTATGTCAAGATTTTTTGAGGTTTGTCATTAATCACTTAAATTCCTTGACATTTGAAATATTATACACAGGCCTTCTGAAATTTATACACGTGTAACACTTAAACTCCCCTAAAGTTTGTGAGTATATAATACTTAAACCCTTTACATTTAAAATATTATAATTAGACCAAAAATATTCCAATCAAATATCAAATATCAAATATCAAATATTTTAAAATTTACCATCAAAATTCATATTCTATTATATCATTTATTGAAATAAAATTAAAAATAAAAATTTAATTTTTTCTTTAAAAAATCGTAGTTAGTATACAATTATACTATCTATTGGAATAAAACTAAAAAAATCATACAATTGGTCTAAGTCATTCATAATAGAACATTAATTTTACATCCAAAATTCATGTTCTATAATGTTATTTATTGAAATAAAATCAAAAATAAAAATTTATTTAAAAAAAAAACATAGTTAGTATATATTTATACTGTCTATTAGAACAAAACTAAAAATTAAATAGAAATCAAAACAGTAATTGACACAATATCTTTTAGATTTAATTGGGGTAGTTTGATATTTTAATATGGTAGTTTAAACGACTAAATTAAATTATAATAGACAATATAATTGTATCCTAATTACAACTTTTTAAGAAAAAATTGAATTTTTATTTTTGATTGTATTTTAATAAATGATACAATAAAATATGAATATTGGTTGTAAAATTTAAAATATTTACTATTTGTTATATGATTGGAATATTTTTGGTCTAATTATAATATGTTAAATTTAAAGAGTTTAAGTATTATATACCTATAAAATTTAGGGGAGTCTAAGTGTAATTTATTAACAGATATATTTACAACAGAAATTTAAGTGTTACGTGCGTACAAACTTCATGGGATTTGTGTGTAACATTTCAAATTTCAAAAAAATTGAATAATTAAGTGACAAATTTCAGAAAGTCTAAGTATAATTCTCCCCGAATACTAGGAAGGTGGTTGTTTATGAGAAGGCAAAAAGCCTTACTGTCTTTCTGTGATGATGTTGCCTGTTCGGGTTTTATTGTATTTGAATGGTTAGACAGTATTTGTATTTTCATTTGATTCTTGTAATTTTTTGGACTCTTCAATAAAATTTCCTTCTCCTAAAAGAAAAATGGACATTCGAGATTGCAATGCGTAGTGGCCAAATGGAGATTGGAGATTGATTGGCAATATATTAATGCAAATGGGTTATGTAGGTATGCTACTAATAATTATGATATAACTTAAAGTGATTATCAAACATAAATTTAATTTCATTCGGTGATTACAATATAAATTACACTTTGACCTTTTAATTATAGATTTAATTTTATTTTGTTCCTTAAATTATCAATTTTTTCACGTTAGTCCCGCAATTACTCAAATTATTTCGCATTGTTGTAAATGCAAATGTTGTTTACTTTTTTGGACAAAAATTATCAACATCTAATGTCAAAATTAAAAAAAAAAAAATCACATAGTTTTGATGGATAAAACAAACAGCAATGCAATTTGGATATAATTTGAAAATTTAATGATTATGGACATTAGATTGTCAGTGGATTCCAACATTAAAATATCACTGGAGCCCAACACAGTCAATATAATGGTTATAATGTATTAAGTCCGTAAATTATGTTTCTAAATTATGTCTCAATAGCATTAGTGTAAAACAAAATTATATTTTATCAAATTTTGAATGAGACAAAGTGAAATAAAATTATAATTGAGTGACCAAAAATGTAATTTAAACCCACCAACCACTGTACTCTCTCTGTTAAATATCAGACAAAACAATAGAGACAACAGCTCTGTCTTTTGCCTACTAAAGCATTTCATCCAAGTCCGTAGAGCAGATACGAGTGAGCTATGCCTCCGTCACATTCCGTCACCGGAGTAGAACTCGAGAGCCACGTGTTCCCGCCGACGGTGAAGCCTCCGGGATCGAGCAAGACTTTGTTTCTCGGTGGCGCAGGTTAATGAGCAAAGCACTGGTGGTGCAACATAAACTGATGTCATTTGTTTTAATTACGTTTCTTTTTTTTTTTTTTGTCATTTGATGTGGTGGTGATTGTGTCTAATGTGCGCAGGGGTGAGAGGTTTGGAAATAGGAGGCAAGTTCGTGAAGTTTACGGCCATCGGTGTGTACTTGGAAGATAATACCGTTTCTTCCCTTGCAGTTAAGTGGAAGGACAAGACTGCAGAGGAGTTAACGGAGTCCGTCGAGTTCTTCAGTGACACCGTCACAGGTAATAATATCCTCTTTCCGTCGCTATAGATTACAGCAGATTCCTCCCTCTTCCCGGAGTAAATGTTCATTACAACCGTGACATCGTGTCACCGGTTACACCTACTCACCTAGGCCTGTCGATGGATTCAATTTAGATTGAATTTTACCTGATTCTAATCCAAATTCAAAGGTCTGATGCGATAATTTAACAAATTTTATTTTTGTGATTTATACCCAAATTCGTTAACAATTCGAAAATTTATTCGAATAATTTAGGTTAATTAAATTTTTAAAAATTATATCTAAATTACAATTAAATTTCTTTAATATTGATATAAAAATATAAAAATAATTTAGATTAGATTATAATCAAATCAGATATATGTACATCTAAATTCGAATCCGTAAAATATAAGATATAAGGTTCGAATTATCGATAAAAAATATTAATTTATATCCGATTAATCAAATTTGAATTCGGATAGAATCCGATCTATTGACAAATCTAATAACACATAATGGGCCCGTCTAGAAATTGTTTTTTTTGGTGCAATCCGGAAATTTGAAAATATAGTAAAAAAGTAGATTTCGAAAAAATAGTTAGAACTATTTGAGGTATTCTCTAAAAAACCGACAAAGTAGAAAATTTTCATTTAAGGAGACTTTTTAGCTTTTTTTTGTTTTTTGTGTCAAAATAAATAAATAATTATATGTATGTATAGATTGTATTTAATAATTTCCAAAATAGAATTTAAATTTTTTTTATGTGACTAATAATATTTTATGAATATAATAAACTAAAAAGTTAAGTCCAACCAACAAAAAAATTTCTTAGAAGCCAGTAAAACAACTTCAAAATATCCTTTTAAAACGGATTTTTCAAGTCATAAGCCGTTGCGAAAGCTGGTGAAAAAGTTGGGAGCCAAATCGGGTACCTATTTTATGTTGTTTGGGCAAAACAGTATAAAAAACTGATAAAAAAGTTGGATCCAAACGTGCTCAATTTCACTAAATAATAATAATACATCTGGTAAACATAAGTAAATCCTATTATTTCAATTCGTTGGTTAATCATAATCATAGTTTTTACTTATTAGAAGCTACTTTTGGGATTCATTACGCATATAATATTTTATTATTAATTAGTGATATCACGTATCACTATTGATGATGTAGTATTATAATGTATTACTTCGGTAACATAGAGGTAGCAAGTGGAAAAATAATGCAAATTGTTGATATTAATTTGAATAATTTTTAATTATTGATAAAAATATCATTAATAAAAAATCATAAAATAAAAAAACATAACATTTTATTTGATCAAAAAATAAAAGTATTGTACTAAAAATATATTTTCTAACACTCCTCAATTTCCTGGGACGTCACTATTAAGGAAATTGTAATAATTTTTGTATTATTTTTATACGTAGATGTTATGGAAAAGTGAATTTTTGGTATTGTAATTTTATTCATTCAATAAAATTTTTATATTTCACTTATTTAATTAATTATTTGGAATTAATAATTTATAAATTAATTAAATCAAATTTAATTTTTTCGAAGGTACCTTAGATTTATTCTGCATGAATATATTGGGTCTCAGAGTTTTAGCCCAAAAAAATATTATTTTCTAAAATAATTTTCAACTTAATATAATTTTGAAAATAGTTTTATTTTAATGTTCTAATTAGTAATTATGATGTCACAATTATATGCAGAGATAACTAGCTGGCAGGGCCAATTTTTTAGTCAAATCAATTCAGATTATTTTAATATGATATAAAATTATGTTCGACTTCCATGTAACCCAACTTCTCTGGATAGCCGATGAACAAGTTACACATCAGCCAAACCATTAAGAAAAGAGTAATACTACGCGGACCAAATTTTGGGATCAAATTTAAAACTCAAATGACATGGTAGTTGATTATTTGAAGTTTTTATTGGGACCTAAATGACATAACACCAATCAAATAAATTCAAATCAACTGCCATGTTATTTGGGCTCCAAATTTAGTCCAAAAATTTGGTCAATTCAACATTACTGTTAAGAAAAAATGAAACCCCCCCCCCCCGTTTACAATGCCCATAAGTTCACTGCGGTTTCTTTCGGAATTTTTTTTTTTTTTTTTTATATTGAAAAAAATGGGTGGGACAAAAGATAGCACCTAGAGATCATCCCGATAGCCCTCAATGATGGAATCGTAAGGCTTTTGATCCTGCCCATTACTCCTATCAGAAACAAATCTAGTTAGACTAGTATAGTGATCAATCACTGAACCCCAATATAGATTTAAAACTCGAACCTCCAACTTGAGGGTGAGAAGCTACAGTATCATAATAGTATTGTAACCTCCAAACACAACTGAGTTGATTTATAACTTTGTCATGACATTAACGATGTAGTATCACTGTTACTTTCAATATTTTTTCCTTGCGGAGATGGAGTTCCCTTCACAAACTCTCCCTCCGTAAGATTTCAAAAAATGCTATATATATATATATATATGTCTTAAAAAATTTTAATGTCCTAATATTTGATTAAAAAAAGTAGGTGATATTTTAATCATGTAGATGAGTGCTAAGAAAGATACATGCTTGAATGTGTTTGATGATCAAAAGAAAAAGAAAGTGAACTTGCTTTAAAATGGGACTACTAACGTGACTTATATCACTCAAAAATAATGCAATAACTAACTATTAATTGTTGTCGTGTGAAACTAATATTTTTATGATCATGCTACAAATGCGAGACTAGTGGGTTGCGATAGCGTGACCAAATTAATTTGGGTAAATTGCATCAACACTCCTTGTAGATATGCCTAATTTCAACGACACCCCTTCTTGATTTTAAAATTTCAGTAACAAGATTTTGCAAGTTAGACAGAATTTCAGTTAATCATGAAACTGTTACTCTGTTCTTTGAACCAAAAGTTATTTCCGGTACTCGTGCATTCGGAACAAAATAGAAAGTAAAAATTTTGCAATTTTTGTTCCTTCTTTTAGCTTTTATTTGTGTGTGTTGATGCTCTGTTTTTAGAATTCTAATTCATTGCCACTAACTATATCCCTAGGCCCTTTTGAGAAATTCATAAAGGTGACAATGATATTGCCATTAATGGGTAACCAGTACTCTGAGAAGGTATCAGAAAATTGCATTGCTCACTGGAAAGCAGTTGGAACCTACACTGATGCTGAGGAAAAAGCCATAGAAAAGTTCATAGAGGTTTTCAAGGATGAAACCTTCCCACCTGGTGCATCCATTCTTTTCACACAATCACCGCTTGGATCGTTAACGGTACGTGGTAAAAATGCCCGTGTTTAGATTTTATCTTATGTCCTGTTTTTTTATCGTTTTTCCAGTGTAGCATCGACTTATAAGAGAACTTATGTGCTATGAACTAGACAATGGGACCTTTTTCAACCAGTTTTTAGGTCTCCCCACACATGATCACAGAAAAACGACCGAGGCGGTTTTCTACGGAATATTTGAGCTAGTCGTCAAACAATTGCCTGCCCTTTAGGAATTTCCTCCGATTGAGGGGACCAAGCAGTGAGTTATTTATATCAAACATTCTTATTACGGTTAGATTCAATCCGGGTGACTCAAGGCAACTTGAGGTTTAAAGTAGAAATATTAAATGAGGCTTTTTTTAATTTTTAGAATTAATTTTAAAAAAAATAATTATTTTTTTTATTTTTTATGTGAGAGAGAGACAAAAAAAAAATGATATGTTAGTGTTGTCGAGAGAGAGTGTGTGATTAATTTAATCTTTATTTATGTTTTTTAAGAGAGAGAGAGAGAAAATGGGCCTAAATTATTAACTTTTGATTTTTAGGATTGAATCATGGGCCTAAATTATTTCAATAAAAATTTTGATTAAACTTAATTTTTTGGAACTTTTTTTGAGGATTAAATTGAATAGAATTAATTTTTTTTGTGGGCTAATAATTTACTTAAAAAATTATGAGGTTTTTTTAAAAATTTGGGGCCGAAAACCCAAGTTTTATTTTCAACTTTGTTGGGCCGGTCCTGGATCCATTCTCCTGGTCCTTGCGGAAAGGAAAAAGAATTTTGCACTCTTCAAAGGGTATTAAGAAAATTCTATTGATTGCAACTTTCTCCATACCTCTTGGAAAACCTCAATGTTGTTGCTTTCTTCTTGAAAATCAAGGAACTTGCACGGGTGATATCCTGCAACAAGTTGAGATGGAGATACGTGGAATGATCCTGAGTAATGTCGAACCTGAAACGAAGTATTAGGAAAAAGGGGTCAAGTGTGTACTCGACTAATCCCCTCCAAAACTCAAGTCAATTAGCATGAGAGTCATGAAAGAATCTATTCTTTGGATTGGAATTGTGTACCTTAGACCAACTTTTTAAGGGGTATTTATACCTGAGTTTACAATGATGGCAGGGTCTTTGAGTCCCATCTCAGAATTTAGGGGCATGCACTCGTATCCAAGCATAATAAGTGTTATTCCATCAAATCTCCTGAAGACTAACCCCCTCGAGCGAGTAGACCCTTACTCAACGTCAGCCAAGCCTTTATCGCCCAATTCTCGGTCATTAAATACCTCCCCTCGGTGTTTGACATTTACGCCCTAGTGTTCATTACTGAGGAATAAGCCCTCTCGGGCCGAGGACATCAAGTCGGCACTATGACACTTAATGTCTTGTAAGGATAACTGTCTTCACATTTTTCGAGGACATAGATGTTCATTAATGAACCTGTCACTCACTCAAGACCCCATTAATAAACTGTGATATCCCCTTTTAATGCTAGGCCTTGAGGGATGCACTAGACCCTACAAGTCATAACCCCTCGGCGGTTTTTCCAGGCGACCCTTGTGCTCCATAACGGCTGCACCTGTTCAAGTGTCCATTTAACTGCTGTCAAAACGCCTAAAGTCCCGGTTGAACTCATCATGAACTATATAGTATGTAATTTTTTAGTCAGTTCTAAGTTCAGCAAAAAAGTAAGAAAATTTACAGTTCAATGCTAAAAAGTAAGATTTATTAGATGCTATAAGCCATTTGTAGCTTATAATGTTGTTTGTTTAACTTCAGATCAGCTTCTCCAAAGATGGTACCATTCCTGATGTTTGGAACGCTACGATAGAGAACAAACATTTGTCAGAAGCAGTGTTGGAGTCTATCATAGGCAAGCATGGCGTTTCCCCTGAAGCAAAGCAGAGTCTGGCGGCGAGAATAGCTGACTTGTTGAAGCAGTGTGACGAGGAGGCTGCCGGGAATGGAAAATTGGGAGCTGGAAAGGAATCCAAGGTGCAGTTGGCTGGTGCAGGTGTGGAGATTACTGCATGAGAGAATGGTCATATGTGAGAGAAGAAAATTGGGACTTCTGAGATTTTGATCAGTGTTTGTTGTTGTTCCTTTAATTTATGAGAATAAGACTGTGTGAGATCTACCTTCTGATATATATTTGTGGTGAAGAATTACTGTATGATTCCGATGGCAGTTGCATAAAAGGTAATCATAGATCGTTTTGCATTATTTTTTTTCTTTTGGTTTAACGGTGTTCGAGTCAGTTTACGCATATTTTGATTAATCTCTTCTATGATCTAATCAAAATAAGACATGCATATTGAGACTAGGATATTCATGAGAAATAAAATCTCTTATAGCCTGGTTTTAAAGAGTTGCCAAAATTCAAACTTAACACGTCTGAATTTATGATTCATCTTTGTTACTATTTGAACTACCTATTAGGGTTAATGGTTCTGTATTCTAACATTAAAGAAGCAGTTTTGCTAGGGGTGTTAAATGTTTTGTGTTCGTGTGACCCACATGTCATATTATTTGTATTGTGTCATTATTATTCGTGTCATGTTTATGTCAAGATTTACGAAAAAAAAAATTTATTTAGTGTGTCTTGAGTATTAAATATTAGTTTGAAATATTTATTATGTGTATTTAATAATTGTGTCAATTTTATAATCATTCGCGTCGGATTCGTATCAACTGGTCAGAGTTGACACCTCTAATTTTTGCTCACGAGGTAACTCGGGAGGGTGACACGTACGAAGCCATATTCAGGTATATGCATAATATTTTAGGATTAATCTAAATCATAAATTGACCAAAACTTGTAAAGTGACCAAAAAAATCCAGTGTAAAGAATGTTTGCAATATTCGTTTTTTAGATTTTTTATTAAAAGCGTGTTTTATAAACATATTTTTTTCGATGAAAAAGCACGAGTCTAATCCCCGTTTTTCAGCTAAAACAGCAAGAGTTTGCAAATAAGTTTGAGATCATAACGGGAAAGGAATTGGGTTGAAAAATCATGGTAATTTCTGAATAAACTCTTTGTTTTTGCGCTTCTTTTAGTTTACTGGCACTAGATTAAGAAACCAATGGTACAAATTTGATGCAACTGTTTGAAAAAATACACACTTCAAAGCTCTTGTTTCAGTAATTGGAAGGCAGGTGAGTTGTCAAATCACCAATGCTGCTCAAGCTTGGCCAAGGTTTGGCTAGTTCAAGTTCATTCATATTAAAAATGAACTAAATATAATAAAAATATATAACTTCGTTTAGTATCGAAGTTAAATCGGGTAATATGCGACTTACTAGACTCGAATCCAAGTCCTTTACAATATAACATATAAATACCTCTTTTATAGTGAAGAGTGGCAAAATATCATCTTTATGTTCATGGATAATGGGTTTGATTTTTAATCAAAGGATTGAGAGTTTAGTGCTGTTGTTTTTAGGATTTACTAGAACGAAAGTTCAAATTCGAGCTCATAACAAAAATGAGCAAAGTTGAACCGATATAAATTTAAGCACATTTTCTAAAAATTGAGTAAGGATTCGAGCTTGACTATCTTATTTGAGCATGAGATAGTCAACTCAAGCTGAATTTAAGTATATTAAAACTTAATAGACTCGGCTCGATTGATGCACCATTGAGCTATAAATAAAAGGTGGATATTGATGGTAGATTGCCCTAGTAGAGGCAAGTGTGACCATGGGAATTTGTTGACTGATTTTGCCTACATCTAAAGATCCTGGATTTATATTTGCTTGGTTCCTTATTAAGGCACCCAATCTAAGTATATAAGTGAAACTATTAGCTAGGAATTCAGCTGCTTCACATATGCATGTGGGTTGTTACATATTGCATGCACAAGCAATAATCTCGAGTACGAAGACACTTTGGAATATCAAAAATTGAATATTAATTATACAATTTAACTTTGTTATGTTTTTTAAGTTGAGAATTTAATTTCTTAACTAAAATATTAGATAGATTGCTAAGAAATGGGTGGGCTCGGATATCGACACCAAAGGATTGGCAAAATGGGTAAAGTAAGGATGTCAATCGAGTTTTCTCATGTTATTGTCGAGTCGTACCGTATGCTTATCATGTTACTTTAAATTTGTATAATGTCCTTGTCGTCGTGTTAATCTTTGGATAAGTTTGGTTTCCACCCTGTGTATGGACTGATAAAGAATGACACTGCTTTGCACCTTGTGAGCCGGGCCAACTTTGGTGCCTACGGTGGAATAATAACGTAAGTTTTTTTTATAGAGAAATTACACCGAAAATTACAACTTTTTAAAGTTAAATTATAATTTTTTTGAGATATAAATGACAACTTTTAAAAGACATGATCGATTATGAGATGTTACGATCGATGCCAACATTACAACTTTCAAAGGTTAATTAGGTTACAACTTTTAAAGTCAACTTATAACTCACAAGGAAGAAATTACATCTGTACAAAGGAAATTCATGATCGATCATGAGTGTCTGTAATCGATCATGTTATTCTCTTGACCAATTGTAACTTCTGTTTACATAGGTATAACTTTACTATAAAAAATTGTAACCGACAATATTGTTTCGAATTATTTTTTCTAGTAACATAGAGTTTCCTTTTTTTGTATAGATAACATTTGGTACTATAATCTTTCTTCTAAATGGTCTTCAACTTTGAAATATTTGTGCTTAGAGAGTTCTTTTTTTTTTTTTCAACAGTCAGGGGTATTCGGATTAGTTTATACGCATATTGACTAATTTTCTCCATGGTTTAGTTAAAGAAAGATTATCCACGCCGCGACTAGGATATTCATGAAAGATAAATCCTATTGTTCTAGTCTTAAGAAATTATCAAGATTCAAATTTAAAACGTTTAAAATTACAGCTCATTTTTATTACCACTTAAACTACCCTTGAATTTTGTTCAAAAAAAAAAAAACTACCCTTGAATTTATTTAGAAAGTTTATTGTCAGAACTATATGCATCCCTTCCACCATCTAGTAATGGTGCCCTTTGTGGTACAAGGTTCTTGAATTTCAATTGCAGGCTAACAGCCAAAGAGGGATTACATTGAATTTCTATCTTAGTAGA